TGCTCTTCACAAAGATACTGGATTCTGGAGTCATAGAGTTATGCCGTTTCACCTTGCTCAGTTATTTGATCACGATCTTCAGGGAATCTCCTCTTGTAGGGGTATAGACCCTGGATAGTTATTTTTTGTTTCTGGTTGTTTGTTTGTTTTTGTTTGGGGCTTCGCCCCTTAATGTTATAAAAAAAAAAAAAAAAAGTCTGGTTCTAACAACCAATTATAGACAGGTAAACTCAGGTCTTCACAAGTCGAGCCAAAAGCTCCTGAAAGGCCCGTGATTTATTTAGCACCCTGTTTGTGGGTAACACAATACACAAGGTACTGCTACTCTTTCCCCCTCCCCCTTATATTTTAAATTTTTCTAAATCTGCCTAAATAATATGATCCAGGCTTAATTCTTAATTAAGTAAAACATTTGATTAAATATTAATTATTGATTATACAATAAAAAATAAGAGTTCCAAAAAAAACTTTATAATTCAAATAAAAAGAAAAAAAGACAAAGTAAAGAAAATGTAAAACAATATTTTTTTCATGTTTGATTGTATAAAAGAATAAAGAAGAAAAAAATGAATTATAAAATAACGCATAATAAATTGTTATAAATATCATACCCCTTTATTTATTTAAAAAATAAATAAAGGTATGCCACGCTGATCACTAGGGGTGCTAAACGAGCCAGGGGTATTACAGGAGTCTTTGGCTCGGCTCGTAAATACCTGAGCTTACATGTCTAAAATTGATGGTTGGACCCAGACTTGGACTTGTATAAAAGCTCGTTTAATAAAAAGGCCTCAGGCTGCAATTCAAAAGTTCGACCTTAGAGCCTCTCAGGCTTTATTAATATATTAGTTTTAAATTTTTTTATATTTTTTATACTACTTGTGATAGCCCTCTCTCTTTCCTCAATTCATTTCATTTATTAATTAAACAGACTTTTTGAATGATTTTATTTATATTATGCTATTTGGATATACATTAAATTTATGAATATTTATGGAATTACCAGTGCTCTTGATTGTATATTTTGTTTGAATAAATTTTTATTGTCTTATTTTTTTTAAACAGGCTAAACCAGGCTTTTACTTTTGGTAAATAAGACAGACCACAGCCTGAAATTATATTCATGACAGGTAACAGGTTTGGCCAAACTGACACATTTAAATACAGATTTAACCTTTTAAGATCAAAGCTCGGCTCGACTCGGCCTGTTAACATCCCTACTGATCACCCATTGGAAAATATTTTTCCAAGGGGAATTGTGGGTAACATGTAAGTTACACTAGACAAGTAGCCATTAACTCAATTTTTGGCGAAATCATAAATTGAATAGCACACTACACTACACCCACTATATATGCTTGGGCAAAGAGAAATGTTATATAAAAAATTTTACATATGTAAAAGTTTACGCTTGATGATGTGTTGTTTAATTGAATTTTTTATGTGTGAAGTGTCACATTAGATTTTTTTTTTCCCATATATTTTCTCGAAATCAATTAGCTCTGCTGCAAAATGTTCATGTATAATTAATTGTTCTTTGATAAAAATTTAAAAGTTAATAATATCTGGGTGCTTTTGAACTTTATATAAATTCTTTAAAAGTAAAAATACTTTAATTTATTTTGAAATCGCAATTAATTTTTTGTAGGACATGAAAAATATTTATAACTGGTATTCTCTATTTTTTTATATTTCATAAAATTATTTTCTAACTCCATCTTAGTTATTATATCTTGATGACTCTTTCTTAAAGATAATATATACTAACCAAAATATTTATTTATTATTTTGTTTCGTATTTCAAAAAAATTTGACTTATCTTATATGAGGAAGGTTATATATATTTATAATTTTTTTTTACAAATTCTTATAAACTATATTATGTACATGTGTAGAATGTACTATCCTTAATAAATAGTGTAGTTTGTAAGTAAAAAATTTATAAATATAATTTTTCTCATCTTAAACTAATATAAAACATATAGAGAGGGTATCTTACACTATTTTCTTTCCTCCCTATAGAATTCTGACGGAATTTTACAAAATTCAATTAAGTGATGGACCACCCTTTAAAAATATGTCATTGCACCTAATACATTGACATCGTTTATTGCATGGAGCCAGTTCACAAGCCACGTCGCATATAAACATTGTCTAAAATACGAAACAAATCAAAAGATTCCTACAATTTTCGTCTAATACAATGTTTAAAGCTGTTTCAGAGAGTTATTGTATTGAAAATTTGAAATGGATGAACTCTTAAGATCTAAGAATGTTTGGTGTTGGCATGAGTGTGATACATAAATTAACTTAAGAACATCTACGAATTTCGGCTTAATAACTTAGTATAGCATGCATAAACATGGAAAGAGATACTTTTAATATTTTCTTATTAGAAGAGGAAAAGAAAAGTAATGTAACGAAGGAAATAAAAACAATATATAAAGACAAATTATTCCTATGTTAGTGTAAAAATAAAAAATCTTGCATAAAGTTTTAATTATTAATTTGATTGCATTTAACAATTAATAAAATAAAACAGTCAAATATAAATAATATTAACGAACAAGATTGTTAATATATTTTACATCAATGTATAATGATTTCGATCGAATCCCTCCCCCTCATCTCTCTCTGTCTATCTATCTATATATAGTTTAAAGGAAAAAATTTATCATTTTAAATAACAGAACTTATATTCTTTCACTCTCACAAAAAAGTGAGATTTACACCTTTATTTTTTTTGTCAACTCTCTATTTTCTCTCTTAAGGGCCAGTTTGGTGTGACGTATAAGGCATGATAGTATAAGCTTATACTATACGTTATGACATTTTCAGTTGTTTGGTGTGACCACCGTATAGTATAAACTTATACAGCATAATCCCTTAATACATCAAAACAATGTATAACTTAATCCGGCCTAAGGATGAGGGATAAGACCTGATAAGAGATTGATGTATTAACATCGTTAACCAATGTAATTCTCAAAAATTAATATATTATTTTAATATTAATCTATTAAAATAAAAATTTATATTTCAATATATTAATTTTTAAAATATTGAATATTTTTATTTTTATAAAAATTAATTTATATTTTGGACACATTGATCAATAAATTTTTATAAAAATTAATGTCATATGACATTTTTTTGAAGAATTATATAAATTCTTTATTAAAGGATATTTTCATTAAAAATATTTATTTTTATCATATATAGTATTATACAGTGCATTACCAAATACTAGACGATATTATTTTATACAATATATTATTTTATACAATATCGTGCCAGACGCTTGATAGTATTAAAATTCAATCAGGTCTTATACTATCAAGTCTTATACTATCAGACCTTATCCTATACAATGCACCAAACATGCCCTAAAATGACACAACTTTACCTCCTTTAAAATAACACACATTTTTTTCCATAGTTTAATATTTTTTGTTTTTTCTACATAAATTTTTTTCTGCCATATTTATGTAGATAAATTTTTTTGCAGTAAAAATAGAAAGAAATTTTACACACATATATATATATGGAAATATTATTTTTATGTTACGTGAGAGAATTTCTTTTTCATGCATTTACAAATCAAGGGTGGAATCCACTTTATTTTTTTTTCTCCTTTAAATTATGAGTGTACGAGAGAAAATTTCTTTAATATAACATAAAAGTAATATTCTTATATTCCTATATATATATATATATGAGATAGGATCCTTTGAAACCGGTGTCAAATTTAAAGTTTGACACCTCATCTGAGAGTCATTAGATCAAAAAAGATCAATGGTATTACATGCTTATAAATCAGAGTCGTTGATCTTTTTTGATCTAACGGCTCTCAGATGAGGTGTCAAAGGATCCTGCCTATATATATATATATATATATATATATATATATATATATATATATATATATATAGGCTTTTTCACCCTTTTGCCCCTTATTAATTAATTAATAACTATTTTGCCCCTGATTCGAAACTATTTATCAATCTGCCCCTCTTTAGTCGACTACCTTGCATTTTTAATCGACTAAACGGTTGTTGGGAGATTTAATCGACTAAATCTCCCTACTTAATCGATTAAAATCATACTGACTTATTTTTTTTTTGTCAAATATGAAGATTTAGTCGACTAAATAGGGAGATTTAGTCGACTAAATCTCCCAGCAGCCATTTTTTGTCTGTTTTGACCATTTAGTCGATTAAAAATTCAAGGTAGTCGACTAAAGAGGAGCAGATTGATAAATAGTTTTGAATCAGGGGCAAAATGGTTATTAATTAATTAATAAGGGGCAAAAGGGTGAAAAAGCCTATATATATATATATATATATATATATATATATATATATATATATGGTTTCACATTTGTCATGTTGCATGAAAAATGCAAAGTTTCCTACACATACATCAATATTTGTGCTACATTTTTTTTTTTAATTTTAAACATGATGGACCTCACACTTATTGTATTTGTAGCATGACAAGGAATTGTCCTACAAAATGATACTTGTTTTTCCCATATTATGTAGGAGTTTGTTTTTCTCATGTTGCGCATGAGAAAACAAACCCTTTCTACACACATCATAAAAAATGTGTCATAATTTTTTTTTTTTTTGCTTTTTTTTTTAAAAAAAATAGGTGAGTCCCACCCTTGATGTAGATTAAGATTTTCCTATAACATAAGATTTATTTTTTTCATATAATGTATATCGAGATGATGCAATTACATGATTACAAGCAAAACGCAAAGTAATTAAAAAAGAAAAATGGAGAGGAACAGATTGAGTCAGAGAATTGAAACGAAAGGGAAAAATAAAAAAGAAAAGAAGAGAAAGAGAGTAAAATATTAACTTTTGAGTTTTCAGAAAGGAGAGAGGAAATCTTTGTAATTAGCTAGAACAGCATGTTTGCATGGGATGGGACATGAGTGTCACGCTACCCATCTTCCCTTTACTCCAAAAGTACTCGCTTCACCATTTAGTCTCTCACCGTTGGCAAGCGGTATCTGATGAGGCCATATTACTGGGTGCTGAATCGCGTGGCACCAACTGTCCCTGCGTCGTCACAATCATGGACTTATTGTACATTTGGATGATCATCTTCTCATCGTACTCCTTGCGCGGTGGGGCCCTCCCGAACCCACCTATGGCGATGGAAGTGGCATCCCCGCCGTAACCGGTACCCATCGTTTTTGCCAAACCCAGCATCATCCTCACGTAAGCGTCCCTCACCCACAGCACCAACTTCTTGGGTGAACAGATTGCGGGGATCCTAATCTTAGGGGCCATCTTGATCCGCCGCCATCTCCTTGTGCCGGTGGCTCCTAGCTCCTCCACCTTGTTCCTCCTTCGCCGATCCGATCCATTTAATCTTTGGTATCCCATTCTCCTCCAGTACTTCTTCAAACCCCTCCGCAAGCTGCCTGAGATACCTTCCATGCCTCTCTCTCTCTCTCCTCTACCTCTGGTGGCTTAATCAGAAAAAACGAAAATGAAAGGGAACAACACAAAAACACAAGAGAAAGGAGGTAGAGTGGGTGAGAAAGTAATGACCTTTCGTATATTAGTAATATGGTTCTATATTTTTGTTTATTCACTTTATAAATTATCTCTTTTTATAATAATATATTTCATTAAATGTTCGGCGATATACATATTAGTTTACAATTTTTAATTTTTCCAGCCATGCACGTCACTTTCTATAAGCCGCAACAGTATCCCCTCGGACTTAATTATATTTCTTTTTCTGTGACTTTGCATCGTAAATTCATGGTCATGTTGACAAAAATCCATCCCCATTCATACTATCAGTTTCGTGGGAAAATCTTATCTGCTAGGATTAGGAAGATGTTATTTTTCACGTAACATTTCCTTTATATTTTTGGAAAAATATTTTTTCATTTAAAAATATAACTTTGTGTCATTTTAGATTCTAATCGTTGATTTTCATCAATCAACGATTATAATTTATTGCACATTATTAATTAATTAATAAGTTTGATTCAATAAATTATAAGTGTTGATTGACGGAAATCAATTGTTATGATTTAAAATGACACAAAATTATATACTTTTAAATAAAAAAACGTCCTATATTTCTACACTATTTTCTTTTTTTTCTTTTCTTATTACAGTGATCCATGTTGTCATCAACTATGTGAGTTGCATACTAAATGTAACTGCCATTGTTCACGTGTCAATTAACAAGTCATTAAAAGAAAGTGAAAATGAGCGAAGGCAAAGTAATAGTTCCAACCAAAGATATGAACATTAAAAAAACTTTTTTCATAAAAATCCATATAATCTGTCGTCATTTTTTAAAAGTGTTTTTGCATCAGTATTACGAATACTCCAAAGCTTGAAGGAGTCGAAAATAATAAATATATAGAGTCCTCTTGTCTCTTAGTTTGTGTACTGATTGCAGAATTACTGGCTTCATTTGGGCTTAAAATATAAATTAATTGTAGCTTACTTGCAGTGTGGAGCGGAGAGTAGAATTTGAAGACAGTCATTACTCATTCGTATATAGTTGACTCATATTATATATTAATATTTGATTAAACAGTTATTACAATAATAAGTGTGTTTTTACATGTTGGTTTTTTAATTTGAAATATAACTAAATTAAGTTTGCACGGAAAGTAATATACATAAATTAAAAATATTACATTAAATGTTATTAAAAGTGTGGTACATTTTCTTAAAAAACTACACATTTTTTACTATTTAAATAATAATTTTTACAATTGACCCTCTCAAGAGGATCCATCTTTGTTTGGAGTTAAATTTTAACAGAGTGGTCAAGATGAAAGATAATTAAAAAGAATAAATAATAGAATAATATAATATATTATAAAAGAGGAAATAATAAAATATATACGCGTTAATAATTGTTATTATGTGTTTTTTTTTTATAACTTGCATGCTTCGGATCATCACCGCTATCTACGTATCTTTTCCTTTTATTTTTCTTCATTTCGTTCGTTATAACAATAATGCACAATCCCTAAATTGATTATGTAGCACTACTTCGTGAGTTTTTCATATTTTAGGAGATAATTTTATTTTTTACACACACAATAAAAATGAGTGAAGTCCATATTTTTATTTTCTCTTTTTTTTTTTACATGTATGGACATAGACTTTATATACTTTTATATATATAGGAAATAGACAAACACTAATTTACTACTTTATATGTATAATAGATGTTAAAAACCATCCGGATCTGCCTTAATTTAATACTCTTTAAAGGCTGAGAAATAAAAATATTCATGCATTACCTGTTATAACAAGAAACAAAGACAGACAGACCTAGAATAGACCACCAGCGCGGGGTGGGGTAGCTTCAAATGACTTTTGAAGGGTAAAAATATATAGTTTTCGTCATGTTGTCCCCTCGGTCTTTCGGTGGGTAGTTGAGGAGGTGAGATGAGATCATGGAAACAATACATCACAATCTTTACGAGTTTGTATATTTATCTTCTTTTTCTTGTAAACAATCTTATTTTTATTATTTGGCTAAAGAACTTTTAATATATTTGAATTTAAATAAGATATTGTTCCTATGTTTCAGATGGTTCCTTTTTAGTCATTTTCCCCTTCATTTCTCCCTCTTCTTCTTTTCCCTTTCTTTATTACTTTTATATTTATATATATATATATATATATATATATATATATATATATATTATTACTATTCTATTCTATTTATTTTTATTTTTACTATTATGTTTCATTTTTCAACCTTTTTGTATCTTTTATTTGGGTTCATCTACCACCGTCCCCAATTAATTTATGATAAAGGTATTGTTGATATTGATGTTGATTATTTATCTTCTAAATTTTTTTGGGTTACGTATATTTTGTTTTAACATAGGGTCATATTAACAAATTTTTCTTTTACAAACGTACAAATTACACCATTTCTTACTGGTAAGACTTCAAATAAAAATATCTTACGCATTGGCGGACCTACGTTATAGCAACTGTATGAAAGTGCAGACATAAATTTTTGAATGGGAAAAAAAGAGTAAAGTATCTTGAGTCTTCAAAAAAAATTATAGAGCCCAATTTAATCCCTTAGAAAAAAAGTCGACTCATGGTCCCACTGAATTCCAAACTAGACCTAGTTAATCCAAATTGTGGTCCTCTAAAATTCAAAGTAGATCCACATTAGTCCCTGAAAAGGACGAACATGGGACTATTTAGAATCCAAAGGGACCACGAGTCAACTTTTTTTATCTAAAGGATTAAATTGGGCCCCATAATTTTCATTGAGGATCCAAAAAGTAATTTACTCAAAAAAAAAATTAAAGTTGAAAGTTGTCTTTTCTTTTTTTATTTATATTCTTTTACTTTTTAATACATTTAAAACTTTCATGAAATTTTTTTTTGGGGGCGCTACCCCAGAACCTCTACCCTTAAATGTAAACATAAATACAATTTTTCAGATCTGTCATTGATCTTACTAGTAAGATATAGTGTAGTTTGTAAATATAACATTCCCTTATTTTAAAATTTAAAAAATGTATATAATCTTTAAGTGTGTATTTTAGTTATTTTTTAAATTCTACCAAAAAATTATATTTTTAAAAAATTTAAATCAAAATAAACTTGAACTTAAGTAATAGAGAACAAATTAAATTTTTTCAATTAAGAAATTTACTTAAAAAAATGGTTATCTTGTTTGAGTGTGTGAATCTATTATTTATATTATTTTAAAAATTGTATGTAAAAGCTATAATATATACTTTTTAAAAATAAAAATAGTATTATATATTTTTAAAGTTTAACGATTAAGTTGTATAAAAAAAAAGTTTAACGATTAAGTGTATATAACTTTTAAGTTGAAGAAAATAAATCAGACTTTTATCCATATATTAAGAACAATTTTTTGAATAATTATGTAATAGTATTGGCTTATTATTAGAAAACTTATAATGATAAACAAATATTACAACGGTTAAACCTTTTTTAATATTTAATAAGGGATTAACTTTCTGCAATACATTATGGTGTACATGACAATCTTTCCTATTTTTTTTTTAATTTCTGTTTTCGAGAACATAAATGAATAAAAAACTCGTTTGGTAAAATCGATTTTTTTTTTTTTGAGATGAATCGCTTTTTTTGTGTGTGCTGAGAAACAAAAAAAAAAAATCAAAAAATTTCTTTTTTCGTTCCGAGACACAAAACGAGAAACATTTATATTTCTCAATCACTCTCCATCACTGCCACCATCATTCCGACACGATCATCACCATTACTACCATCATCGCAGTCATTGTCGTCACCACCACCACCACCACCACTACCGAAACAGTGTCAGAAAAGAGAATGATTGTCATGCATACCTTATATATTAAAAGTAGTAAATAATATAATTTTGAAATCTAAACTAAAATAAAGTTCATTTCAAAAGTTATACTATATATTACCCTTAATACACATAATGTATTGGAAATAACTTTTCTGCATTATATGTATAAATGTTTTTCGCTTTTAACAATATACGTGTGTAAGATACAATACAGCTCGAAATAAAAATTTATCTGACAGAATTGTATATTTTTTTAATATCCTGTGTTAAAGCCACTTACTTAGCATCGATTAAGGTTGCATCAACATATATATTATTTTTTAACAATATCTCATTTTTTAAAAATCATTTTTTTACTTAAAATATTACTCTTTATAATTTGCTTTTAAAATTTAGCTTTTTAAAAAAAAATTAACACGTATTTTTAGTAATAACCATTTTTTAAAATAGGAATAAACGGTCTATTGATCAATTAATGTCAGCTCAACGTGCAGGTATAATCGTAAATCGTATAACTGGGTCGGCAGATGGGCATGTATATGAAGAGATCAACCAATCGGCTTAGTTGCGTTTCATATGGGTAAGGGTAACCACATTATTGTTTTTTTTTTTAATATATTTGAAAAACTTACTTTCTATCATATTTTCAGAAATCCTGATTCTCAGATAATTTTTTTTTTCTATACCAAATGTGCAAGATGTGATGGGTTCATTATTTATTAAAATAAAAAAATTATTACACTCAATTTAGGAGATTTTTCTCCTACAACACATATGGGTGAATTATATGGGACAGTACACTATCTCATATGTAATTTAACATGATCATGTCATGTAGGAGGATCTTAACTATTAATAATTAAATCAACAGTGATGATTGTGTAACATCCTATTCTTATATTTTTTTTTTCTCTTCCCTTATCACCATTAACTCATCCATGTATGATTATGATTGCTCCACATGATATGGTAATGTTAATTAGCACATGAGAGGATCCACTCCCAATATAGTACGTCCTATAATAGTAAGCAATACTTTTCCAACTATTATTTATGGATCTGGATCCTCTCATGTGAAAATTCACATGATCATGTCATGTGGAAAATCATAATCATACAAAGGTAGATCAATGGTAATAAAGAAAAAGAGAGAAAATATATTAAAACAAGTAATTACGAAATTATAACCGTTGATTTACTTTGTATGATTGTGATCTTCCCACATGACCATATCATATTTTTTTATATGAGAGGATTCATTTCTATTATTTATTTATGAACGAATTTTCCGACCATGTAGATGTAGTGGGTCTTAGCTTATGTTACTATATTTATTGGACACGCTTCCAGTACTAGCGGTCATTAATTAAGTTGAGATTGCCCAGGTCTCCTACCTAATTTGCTTGCAAATATAAATTCTTATCTCCTAAGAGAATATAACATTTAATTCAATAAAATTGTAACTTCCGGATTGTACAATTAATATTTGTCTTTGATTTTTTTTTTTGGTAAAAACAATTATTATTTGTCTTTATAGTAAACTTATGTTAATTTTTTTAAAAATCATTACTTGTGCTGGTTATTTTTTTAAAAAAATATTTAAAATATTATATATTTTTAAAATTTTTCATTTAATAATTTTACTTTTTATTTCTTAAGATATTACTTTTAACATAATAAGATTATAGTGGAAAAAATATTATTTAATGTTTTAAATCAAAGTCATTAGGAGTATGAATGATTGTTGAGTTCGAGATAGATGTGTATTTCTAAAAATGTGAAGTATTTTATTGTGTAGATGCTCAAAGAGGTAGTAATATGTGAAGTATTTTATTGTGTAGTATTTTATTGTGTAGATGCTCAAAATGGTCACCGCAGGTACTATTTTAAATATGACTAAGAAATGGAGAATATGTGATGGAATAGGGGCTCGATGTTTCAATCAGTGGTGAGTTAAGGAGGAGTGATCGCCCCCTCAATTTTATCAAACATTTATCTTAAAATAAATTGAGACTTAAAAGAAAGGTAGTGTAGGATAAGTTCGCCGTCTTTTATTTTTATTATTCCTTATTTATGAAGAAAACTCGGAGACTTCTTCAAATTTGGTTACATATTGACCAATATCACAATTTTTTTTTATTTCTCCCGTTAGTTTCTGCAAAGTAACAAATAACAACTCATGAAATGTATGGATGAAAGATCCATCTTCAATGAGAGAGGATGGATTTATTATATAGATGAGAGATGTTATTCTCAAATTAACTTGATTTTTCCGTACTACTATTACTAATAATCACTAGTTTGTGTGTTTGTTCTAAATTTTGAATGCTTCAAATGTTTATTTGAGTTTCACAAAATAGATAAAGCTGAGAGTGTTCGACAAATTTTCACTGTAAATAGGTGCCACTACAAGAAATATGATTATTTGTGACAAAAATTTAGTGATGAATATATAATTTGTCACTGATGATATATTATTTGTGTCTAAATTTTATTTTGTCACAATTATTATTTTTAATTGTGACAAAATGAAAAATTGTCACTATAATTTCATTAATAATGACAAATATATATATCTATCACAAATAATTCGTCACTAATATAAATTATTAATTAAAATATTATTTTCACATAATCATATCGTCACTGATATAAAATTTTAAATATGCAAAAAAAAAAATAACTAAATTTTAAGTTATCATTTTATCAATCATTCTTTGTTATTAGTGACAAGTGACAACTCACAAATAATTCATCATTAATGATTTGAAACATTTATGCTTAAAATTAATCGTCACAAATATTTAATATCAATATATTGATAATGGTGAAAATTTTGCCCCTACTATTATAAAAAAATATTAGGGACAAAAATAAACTGTCATTGATATTATATTATACTATATGAAAACTTTGTATTCCCCTGTACATGAAATTGCTTCCTAATTATGTATAGAGGAATTCAGCATCAACTTTAAAATATTTTAGCTCGTCCCTATTGAAGCAGGTGATTTATCTTCTTTTGTTGAAAGAACAATATTATCTATTTGAATACTTTGAGTGCAATAAAATAATGTCTAATTTTTTTATAAAAAAAATGAACAAAATTTGTTTCATAAAATAGCAAACCAAACTAACAAAAAAAAAAAAGAAAACTGCCCACTAACCAAACCAACAAAAAAAATTGCCCACTAACTTTCCTATATCCCAAATTTTAAGGTTTCAATATTGTTTTTTTAACCTGTACAAAAAAATACATATTTAAAAAGGTATTAGTAACAAACAATCAACTTTTTCTTTAATATTAAATCATATTAGTGATAATTTAAAAAATACCAACTAATTTCTTTTACGATGAATTGTTCATCATCAAAGATTTGAAACATTTGTGTCTACAATAATTCGTCACAACTAATTAATACTAATATATTAGTAATAATTACAATTTCACTAAAATAATTTTTTCATTAAATTATTAATACTTTAAACTTACGTATTTTATTAATTTTATATTCCATTATTAGTGAAAAATGAAATTTCTATCATTATTAACAAATTCTACATTATTAAAGTTTTGACCTTGATTACAAATTTTAAATATTTTAATCTTAGTGATAAAACTAAGATTGCACTTGATATAATATTTTAAAAAAATCATAAAATAATAAAATTTTCTAATAAAATTCTCCTCACGAAGTTAGATTTATTTTTCCTACTCTTTTTTTTATATTGCACAAATATTTTTACTAATTCAAAGCATGTATGAAGTATTAACAGTACAATAAAATAATGTGTAACATTAAAAAAATAGTTATTAACAAATTTTGTTTCATAAAATAGCATATAATATTAATCAATCGTCATCAGAATCATACTCATCATGGATGCCATCACTTTCCTCATCTTCTATCAAATTTAAAGTTTCATAATCACTTTCCTCTTCATTATCAACATTTTCTACATGCACCATTGGACTTCCATCAACAGTGGGTTGTTCTAAGTCATTCCTATCCAAAGATATCGCTTGTTCATCATCTGGTTCATTACACAATTCATGTACCAATCCAATCTCATCATTTTCTTGACATGGCTCATTATTAACCTCCCAAGGCATATCATAAAAGTCACGGGGCTTTGTGTTCACAACAACTAGCCAATTCAGATCTTTGGTGTCTTTAACATAATACACTTGTTGAGCTTGAGTGGCTAGGACATATGGTTCATCAGTGTTCAATCTACGATTGATATTGATAAGAAAAAAATCATATCTATCTTCCTTATATCCTCTTCCTCTAGAAGAAACATCCCACCAATCACATTTAAATAAAATCACATTGTTTCCACTTGAGTACATTAATTCCACAATATCTGTTAAGACACCAAAATAATCTAAATTACCTGTATTATTATCCCCTTTAACTAGAATTCCACTATTTTGAGATTTTAAATGCATATCACGATCCTTTATATTAAACCTCCAACCATTTATAAGATAACTTGTATATCTAAAAACACGTGTATCAGGGCCACAAGCCAAGTCAAATAATGATTCATTTATGCTTTCATCCGCGACATTTTTCAGAAACGTAATCTGAAATTAAAATAAATAAATAAATATGTATGTATGTAAGTTACCATATAACAACTAAAGTTATATAAAAATAGATAAATCTAAAATTATACGTACATGTTTTTTAAACCATTGGTAAAATTCTTTTGCATGTCTTTGCTCCACATGCTGTGAGTTTTCATTCTTCAATTTTTCCTTATGCAACCTAGTCATTTGAGCATAAAAAAACAAAGAAATATAAAATTAAAATCAATTATAAATTTTAAAAAGCTATAAATAAAAAATTAAAAAAATTACTTACTCAATATACGGTATGACGTCATTGCAATTTTTAAGAATATACATTCTTGCTTGCTCCCACTCCACTAAACTTAACTCAACATACTTTTTTCCATGCAATGGTTTGCCAACATGTGAAAAAATATTTAAGTTTGACTTATTCAACCCATCTAAATCGCCTTCATAATTTCTTCCACATCTATTCAATCTTGTCTCAACTCCATGCAAATACCTTGAACAAAAATGCAAACATTCTTGCGCAATATAAGCTTCTGCAATAGATCCCTCGGGATGAGCCTTGTTTCCCACGTATGATTTAAGCCTGCGTAAGTATCTTTCGATAGGATACATCCAACGATATTGTACTGGTCCAGCAATCTTAGCTTCATCTACTAAATGGATGGGTAAATGGATCATTATGTCAAAAAATGATGGGGGAAATATTTTCTCCAACTTACATAAGGTTACAACTATTATCTTTTTTAGCAAGTCCAAGTTATCCAAACTCAATGTCTTCGAGCATAACTCTCTAAAAAAAGAACTTAGTTCAATAAGTGCTTCACATACTTCCTTTCGTAGAATGCCACGTATTGAAAGTGGGAGATACCGATGCAAAAATACATGACAATCATGACACTTCATCCCATGTATTTTTCCCTCTTTGACATTTACATATCGGGAAATGTTAGATGATTAACCATCAGGAACTTTCAAATCAACTAGAAATTGGCAAAATGCATGTTTTTCCTGAGATGACATAGTGTAACATGCATGATGGAATGTATATTTACCTTCATCAATCGTGGTTGCATGAAGCTCAGGTCGAATACCCATGTATGCTAAATCAAAACGAGAATTTATATTGTCTTTTGTCTTTCCTTCAAGATTCATCAATGTTCCAATTATATTGTCACATACATTTTTCTCAATATGCATGACATCTAGATTGTGCCGTAATTTTAGATATCTCCAATAGGGCAACTCAAAGAAAATGCTTTTTTTCCTCCAATTCCCGGGTAATTGAATCTCTCCTCGCTTTCTTTTCCTTGTAAATTTACCAAATTGCACCTGAATATATTCATTCACATTTAATGAAAGGAGTTACACATTAAAAAGGAATATATATATATATATATATATATATATATATATATATATATATATTAAAAATATGTATATACAAATATGAAAAAAAGAAATTGAAATTACTTATTATATATTACGATAACATATATATTTTATATTTTAAAAAAAATCATCAAATGTATTAAGATACCTTTTAAAAATAATTTCTATCAAAATCAATCAAAACTAAAAAAATACAATACATATCAGATATTTCTTTTAATATTAAACTCAAATCTTTAATATTTATAATTTACTAAAAAATATAATCAGTAATAACAAATATTTAAATTAAGTAACATTAAATAATTCAAATACGTTTTAAAAGAATACCAAAATATTTCTTTTAATTAACATTAAGTAACATTAAATAACAAATATTTCTTTTAATTGATTTTTTAATTGATTTGCTGAGTTGTATCAATTCAATTACTAAAAAAATTATGTTGATTCGTGTGTCAACTATTGTATCAAAAATATACCAATAAAAAAATAGCAATATGTAATGTTACGTGGATTCGTGTGTCAACTATTCACGATCACAATATTGTATCAAAAAATAGCAACGTGAAATTAGGATAATGGAACACAAATGTGGAGAAAATAATGTTGTAAAAATCATCGTGGTTTTTTTTAAAGAATTAATTACGAATGAAAAGTAAAAAAATATAGTTGAAAAATTCATGTTTAAATTAAAAAATCTTAGCGTCAACGTTCCATGGACCTATATTGCATAATGGTGAAAATACCATTATGAAATTTTGAAAAATTTATTACCTATAAAAAATTAAAAAAGTGCCAAATACATATAATATAAAATATGACATAATACGCTCATAAAAAAAATATATGACAAAATACCAAATGCATTCACCATAAAAACTATTAATGGGAACATATGTAATATAGATTTCATGCAAATAAATATTAAAATATTGACCTGATTAAAATTTTGCAGTTGTTCAACAATATCGTCTCCTGATAATTGTTTGGGGGCTGGTCGCTTTTCTTTATTTCCATCAAAGGCCTTTGCATTATTTCGCCAATAATGATCAAGCGGCAAAAATCGACGACTTCCCATATAAGCATGTTTTCGTCCATTTGGTAGCCTCAATGACCATGTATCCATGTTACAACAAGGGCAAGCTAATTTCCCTTTAGTACTCCATCCCGAGAGATTCGCATAAGCAGGAAAATCATTAATAGTCCATAAAATAGATGCATGCAGCTGGAAGGTTTCTTTGACTGACGCATCATATGTCTCTACACCTTTTTCCCAAAGTTCTTTCAATTCATCAATTAAAGGCTGCAGATACACATCAATATCATTTCCAGGAGCTCTAGGACCTGGAATAAGTAGTGACATTATAAAATAAGGATCTTTCATGCACATCCAAGGTGGCAAATTATAAGGAATTAAAATTACTGGCCACACACTGTACGAAGTACTCATATTTCCATATGGATTGAAACCATCACTAGCCAGTCCAAGTCTAACATTACGTGGATCTGCTGCAAAAGAAGGATTTGAGAGTCAAAACTTTTCCAAGCAATGGAATCAGCTGGATGTCTCATTTGCCCATCTTCAATTGGTCTATCCTTATGCCACCTCATTTCTGTAGCACTATTTGAGGACATGTATAACCTTTGTAACCTTGGTGCTAAAGGAAAATAACGTAGAACTTTTTGGGGCAATTTCTTATTTGGATCTTTATATGGAGAAACCCCACAACTTGGACAACACTTAGATTGTAAATGCTCACCTCGATAGAGAATGCAATCATTCAAGCAAGCATCTATTTTTTCATAATCTAGCCCAAGCTCACGGATAACTTTTCGAGCTTCAAAATAGGACATAGGAACTTTATTTCCTTTAGGAAATGCTTTCGTCAGTAAAGAAAGTAAAGCATCAATTGATTTTGCACTCAAGCCAAAGAGACATTTGATATTTAATAGTTGAACAATAAATGATAATTTAGAAAAATGCTCACACTCAGGATATAGTTCTTGTTCGGCATCATGCAAGAGTCTATAAAACTTATAAGCTTCCTCATTCATTTCGTTATTTGTGCTAGTCTCATAACTTTTATCCTCGCTTGGTTGTCCATCGACATTTGGGATATTATGAATGTTGAAAGTACTTCCAATATCATGTAACATCTCTCGAAGCCCATCATTGCAATTTTGCTCATCATCATTTTCTTCATCGTCTTCAGATTCACTCACTATTTCTCCATGAAGATCCCATATGACATAGTCCTTTTTTATCCCAAACATGATCAAGTGCTCGTAAATGACTTTACGAGACCGATAAAGATTATTATTGCATTTTTTGCATGGACAACGAAGTAGTTCCCCTTCATCAAAACCATTAAATGCGAATTCAAGAAACTCAAGAACTCCTTGTTCATATGAAGGTTGCGTCCTATCAATAATTTGTATCCAACTTTTATCTAATCCCATATCTGTTATGAAAAAATAATGTATAAAATTAATATAAAGAATTCACATATAATTAAAACTAAACATGTTAAATATCAAAAAAATATGAAATTGTAAAACAAATTAAACTATTAGAAACATGAAAACATTGCTTATAAGATGCAAAATTATAAAACTTGATTGATATAAAATCTAGCAAACGGAGAATTTCTAGTAAATGGAGAATCAATGGATGGAAGAAAGTATTACCGGTTGCAAATTAAGAGAAGATAAGTGTTGATCATGAGAATGTTCAAGGAAGAGTGACGAACGTTATCAATAATTTCAAATGTACTTATCAATAGTGATAGTATATAATGATTTATTTAAAAAAATAAAATACAAAACAAACAGATAATATCATAACAAAATAACTGACATCAGATAAATAAGATGAGATTGAACAAATTTTCAAAATTTAAATTTGTAAACAAATCTGAATAAGAAACCAAATAAAAACCCTCATCATAAAAATATTCAAATTTAAATTCTTGTTTGGAAAATTATGATCGTTTTCAAATTTAAATTCTAGTTTAGGAAATGATATAAAATCTAGCAAACTTGATATTGAGATTTTTTTCTTATGGTCTCAACTTTTTATAATTCATTTGATCATTTTCTAGCAACCAAAAGTGTAATTAAGAGAAAAAGACAAAATTAATTACTGAATAAAAAATTTGTAATTGAAGATACGTTATTATTTCAAATGTAATTAATATTCAAGCCTAGGTTACAAATGTTATCAATAATTTTAAATGTATTTATAATAGTGATAGTAGATAATGATTAATTTGAAAAACAAAATACAAAACAAATAGATAATATCATAACAATATAACTGACTGACATCAGATAAATAAGATGGGATTGAACAAATTTTCAAAATTTAAATTTGTAGACAAATCTACAAACTACTTAGAATAAGGAACCAAATAAACGTGCACCACTTTGTTATATAAACGTATGGACAATTTAAATTATATCGTTCATTGTGTAACCTAACCGCAAGTGATTATAAATAAGTCTTTAATGCATATTAATTTTTAACCAAATAACATAACAAATCATTATTATATTAATTGCATATTAATCTCTTATCCTTCTATTATAATTAAAATCAATTTTTAATATTACCCCTCACCAATAACTGCTGTATCCACATCTCACGTTCTCATCCACTCTGATACAACAAAAAAGATTCTCACATATTCAACAAAAAAAAACAAACAACGTCGTTTCTTAGAAAACTTCTTGAGCGTGTCTTTTGGTTGGGGTTCTTAAAAAAGATATCAAGAAAAAGAGCAAGCTTCTTGGTTGGAGATTTGAAATAATCTTTGTTAGAGATTTGAAATAGTCTTTGCTGGATTAGAGGTAAGTTTTTCACACATTCTTTGCCTTTAATGGTGTAAGTTTTTTTGTTGCAGTTTAAAAATTCTGAACTTTTGCCTCTGCTTTTTTCTAGAACCTCTTAGAAAATGGCAAGGCTTACTTATTTGAACTCTTGTTTTACTTTTACTTTTATTTTTAATTTTTTAATTTTTTTGGCCAATAGTTCAACTCTTCCATCACTTGTATGTTCCTTTTTCTTTTCAGCGGGTATGAATGTCCCACTGTTGTGATATTCTTATTTTATCTTCAAATTGCAGGAAATTTTTTTTTTGAGTTTGTTATTATTTCTGAAATATTTTTTATATTTATTAAATAATTTAATTTTATTTAGATTTTTGTTTTTGATTTTTGTAATTGGTAGATGGTGAAATCACTGAGACTGAATTCTAAAAGGATTTCTAATGATCAACCTTTATCCCCTCTTCTTGAAAAAGAAGTAAGTGACTCCCAACCTAATGATGCTTGTATTGCCTCTAAAACCATTCATGAAGAACAAGTTGAAGTTGATACAGGTAGTCTTGCAATATGCTTTTCTATTAAAAAATCTAGAATATTATTAATGCAGTAGCTATAGTTCTAATTTTTTATTTTATTTTAGGTGAGCAGATCCTTAAGAAGAGAAGAGACGTGGACATACGATAAACGCGAAGTTTCAAAAGATAAAGGAAAAGAGAATGGCAAAGGAAAAAAGTCTCGACATCCAATTTCCTCCACCGTTTTATAAACTTTGTGAAAAACATGCAAAGTATTTTAAGTCTGAGGCAACACTTTGTGTTCGCCAGAAAGCACCTTTACAAGTCTATAGCTGGAAAAAATATCTGAAGGTGATGTAGATATAATGTGGAAACATATGAAGGTAAAAAGCATAACTATATCTGTTTAGTGTGTCTAATTATTTTTTATTTATATATTAGGAACTTTTTCTTATGTTTACTTAATTTGATACATGTTTCTTGATAATGTTTTATTTTTACTTTTTCTATGAATTTATATGACTTTAGGATAAGTTAAATTTGCCCGATGAGGTTAAAGAATATGCAATGAAGCAACTACAATTGCAATATAAGAATAGGCTCTATCATTTAGGCAGAGCATATATTGAAAAGAAGGGTAGGCCAGAAGGTGTATCTCCATATGATTGGAATTGGTTAATCAAAAATAAATGGTGTAATTCCAAATTTCAGGTAATTTTTGTATCTTTAACTTGATTTTTTATTTTTTATTTTGTAGTTTTATACATAAAATATTAAATATATATTAATTTAATGTAGGAAAGGAGCTTGAAAAATAAGGTTAATCGAAGCAAGCATGAAATTAGATGTATCACGGGCACAAAATCAATTGTGCAAAAGGCATTTGAAATGGTAATACCATTTTTTTTATCATGTGTAGAACTTGAAAAACTTTGCTTGCTCTTTAGTTTCAAATTATGAGAACACGAATCTATAATATTCTTCTATAATTATACATTATTATTATTAAATTTATTTTCTTATTTTTTATTATTAATAGAAAGAAGATTCAAAAGCTGATGAATGGCCTGATGCTTTCCAACTATGGAAAGCCACACGTATGAGAGCTAATGGAACTTGGTGCGTTCGAAATGGAGAAGAAATTATGGTAAGAAAAAAGTACATTTTATTATTAGATTTAAGCATGTTGATATTATTAGATTTAATCTATGGTTGCATGATTTTTTTATTTTTTTTGGTAAGCTATGGCTGCATGAATTTAATAATGAACATGGACGCCTACTTGTTTACCCTTTATTCTAGTAGCTTTGTTGCTTCCATAGGACATTTGATCCTTTTAGGTACTTGATTGATAGGTTCATGCATCTTATTCTTATATCATTGACAAGCATATAGTTTTGTTGACTTTTGTATACAATTGTTAGTTCAAACATATATACAGTAATTAAAAAATTCTTGATTAAGTATTGGGTTTGTCATGTATGTCTTCGTCTACTTGT